GCGTCGGCCTGAGGTCCGGAGAGACCCGGGTTCGGTTCCCGCTAAGGGCACGTACCTTGGTTGCAGTTTGTCCCCAGCCGTGGTTGGGTCGTGTGGGTGGCAACCACTCGATGTGTCGCTTTCACGTCGATGTTTCTCTCTCTCTCTCTCTCCCTCTCACTCTATCTGAACAAAATATCGAAAAATGTCCTCGGATGAGGATAAAAAAAACAAAAACAAAATAGCAAAGCTGATATTTGTTGCCCACCTATCAGGGATTTTCCTGTCCTTAACAAAAATAAAGGCAAAATAATAATGAATTAGATCTTCCAGTCTTTGTTTTCTAAAAAGTCAAAATAGACCATTACCCTTTTTACATTGCCCTTCAACACTGCCATTCACTGCAAATTCTCCCATATAGTTATTTCTTTCATAGTTTAAGATTGTTTATTTTTTTCCTGGCCGATGTGGCTAACTGGTTGAGCGTCATCCCATGGACTGAGAGGTCCTGGTTCGATCCTTGGTCAGGGCACATGCCTGGGTTGCAGGCCTGATTCCCAGTAGGAGGTATGCAGGAGGCAGCCGCGGTCAATGTATCTCTCACATTAATGTGTCTCTCTGTCTAAAGAATCAATAAAAACATTTTTTTTTCTTTTATCCTCACTCGAGGACATTTTTCCATATTTTGTTCAGATAGAGTGGGAGGTGGAGAGAGGAAAAGAGAAAGAGAAACATCAATGTGAAAGGGACACATCCAGTGGCTGCCACCCGCACGACCAACCAGGGCTGGGAACAAACTGCAACCGATGCATGTGCCCTTAGCGGGAACCGAATCCGGGTCTCTGTGGACCACAGGCCAACGCTCTAACTGCTGAGCCAACTGGCCAGGGTAATAAAAAAAATTTTTAAAAAAGATTGTTTACTGTTTAGACTGCTTTCTTTCTTTTTTTTTAATCCTCACTTGAGGACATTTCTCCATTTTTTTGTCCAGATAGAGTGGGAAGGAGAGGGAGGAAGAGAGAGAGCAACATCGACGTGAAAGGGACACATCGAGTGGCTGCCACCCGCACAACCCCACCAGAGCCGGGGACAAACTGCAACCGAGGTACATGCCCTTATCAGGATCCGAACCCAGGTCTCTCTGTACCGCAGGCCGACGCTCTAACCGCTGAGCCAAACCGGCCAGTGCTGTTTAGACTGCTTTCTAATGACACATGGGAGAACATTATTTTCATTATTAGGATGCTTTATATTACACACAGGGTATGATGTTTTGAGTTTTCCTACAGGCAGATAATTACACTTAAATTCTTGATACACTTCAGTTCTTGGATCAAAATATTTTTATGTCCCCCAACCTAGGTGTCCCATTCATTTCTGATGCCTTATCACCATCACTTCTATCAGAGTTTTAAGGCTCCTTTGACTTTGTGGCTCTGAGTCATCCTTTATTTTCTATTTTCTGAAATGAATAACCAAATGGGGTAAAAGGAAACAAGGATACATTCTGAAAAGATGGTTTTGATTTTCAGACTTTATAATTCCCACATTGCCTTATAATGAAGGGAATGTATCCTTGCAAAGAATCTTTCAGTGATCAACACAAATTATGTATCTGTCAGGCCCATTTCTTAAGTCCTAACGTTCTAGCACAGAACACATTTGTTCTACTCAATATGGCTAAACTGTATTTCAAATGGATTCATTTTTCTTGCAGATACTACTTTTTTAGAACACTGTACCAATGGAGTGTTCAAGGTGAGCTAAAGCATTGTAAAAACAGCTGATTAATGCATTCTTTGTGTTTATAGAACTGAAAGCAGTAACACCTTTTTCATTAATTCTTGACAATCACATACATCATAAACCGACAGGAATTCCAGGAACTATCTCCAAGAATTCTGCCTGTGTTGTCTATAAGTTATATATAATTTAAGAGAGAAAGAATCAACTCAGTACACCTGTAGAAATAAATTTCCAGTATGAGGTTATTTCAAGAACAGTTTATAAGAGTGGATTCATTTAGCTTCTTTTTTGAAATGTAATACTGCAGTTTAACAATGATGGCAGCACAACTTCCACAGGTAACTTCTACATTTATTTTATACCAAAAAAGTTATGTGCAACAAATAAACATTCTTACATATTTACATTTGTGTTTGTTGTTGTTTTTTTTTTACCAGTTAGCAAAACTGTCCTAATCTCTGATAAAGAATATTCCTATCTATATTAAAGGGGAAATCTGCCCAGTGAACTCCATTTAAATTAATGTTTACTCTGGAGTTTAAAGCACTAGTAATAAATATTTTTGATGGAACATACTATACAGGCCATATACCTCATACTTAGGCCATGCTTAATACAGTTTTAGAATAAAACATTCACCTTTTCTGGGCCAATTTGTCAAAAACATGTTTAACTAAGTGGCCTGCCCCGCCACACACACACCCCTTTTATTTTAGTGTAGGGTAGTTCTCACAGATTAGGAATCATACGTGCTGCCCAACATATCTGAATAGGGATGTTTGACCGGTGCTTGCATGTTGGGGGAAACACATGAGGACGAAGGTTGCATGTTAGGTGCTCCCTCCCAAATAGGTCACCAAAAAAAATACAGTGAGTTTCTCATTGGCATCTGTTTAATACTGATTTTCAAGGTCAGCGGTCCCTGGTGTCGAGCAGTGGTACCGATCAATCTAAGTCATGAAGTAATTGCTGAAGGTAACTTGGTACTTTTGCTGAGGTTTTAAAAGTAAATATAAATGAAATATAAGTAAACTAAAGCCAACAAATAATTTTAAATTAATTCCACTGCAGTCTTGGTCCTCTATCCTTCCTAGTAGGTTCAAAGATCTCTTGTACCAAAAGGTCTTTGTCTCTTCGAATGAAAATAATCAATGCTTTCACCTCTTTAAAGGAATGGATTTATGGAGAGGTTATATACATCAAGTAAAAGTAATATCTGGCACACAGCTAGCTAAACCTGATTTATTTCCCCATAAGTTTACCTTCACTGACAGCAACTAGCTGCAATGAAAAACCAAATGAGTTCTCCAAACCACTGAGATTCCCTAGAACTTGTCATCTAACCACAACGTCTCATATTTCTTCAAATGAGGTGACTACCAAGTCAGCAAGAGGCTTCATTTGTTACAAATCATTTAAAAAATCAAGAAGCATGGAGTTACTGCTAAAACAGAAATTCAATTTTTCCCCTAATCTGCTCTTCAATGTTGGTGGCTAGTAATTTTGCAGGGTTTAAACATTCAGTGTAAAATAGTCATAACAATCCTCAGATTTTATAACACGGTGTTTGCTCCCCCTCCTGGGGCGACGGAGCGGGTGCAGAGGGGAGCCTAAACTCTTCCAGGGCACAGGTGCCTAATCACACCCACAGGTCTGTTGCTACTGAGGTGCTGGCGTTACACAGCTGGTAGTTCAGGCAGCACCTGCTCATCGCTCAGTGAGAAAAGGGTAGTAATTCTGGGTCACAGGAATGTGGCAATTTTTTTTATACAACTGAAACAGTGGTGTTTTCCCCTAGGCTTAGGAAAACAGGAAAAACTTGGAGGGTCTGGCTGAACATTTATACATTTTCTCTTTGAATGAAGACAGATATTTTCAAGAGTGCAACATCAAGACAAGCTTTAACTCTACTCTGCTGATTGATACAAAATATGAAAAAAAAAACTTTCAATTGGGACACAGGGAACTTGTTTAGCACAACCAGTGTTATATATACCACAGAAGTCTTAACTGTTAAGCCATTTCCACTGAAGCTTAGAAAAGAGAACCAGAACATTTCTTGGTAGGACTGGAAGGACTTCTACATGACCTCATCATACAGTTCACTTCAACATTAGGACTCGTTTCTCCATAAATACGAGACATCTAATCAATGCTTTCTAGCGCTCTTTAACTACAGAAATAAGAACATACATAATAAAACAGGCATTGAAATATTCACATTCATGGGAAAACATCAGCCTGGATGAAATCTGAATTAAGCTCTCATTTTACAAACTGGGTTAAACTCATTGATAGTTCATTACAATTCAGATTTGATACCTGCCTTGGACCAGAAGAGCACATTGCATCATATGAAGTCAGCTGGGAACAGTTGCTGGCTACACATCCAGTTGCAGAGCAGAGCCTGTCCCCTCCTTGCCAAAAGGCAGATAAAGCACTTAAATTACTGGTCTATTTTTAACATAATGATTAATCAAATGGAAAGCAAAAATATTGCTACCACTCAAGTAGTAGGAATAAAATGATCATACAGAAGCTTTGTATAGAATGCAAGTTGTCTACTTCATGCGAAGGGAGGGAGGGAGGAAGGAAGGACACTTCTGCCCAAGTTCAACACACAAAAATATTTGGTTTGAGATTTAAGACAGAAGGCACTTTTAACATTTTGATATAAGATGTTAACCTTATAGAAACATACTGTCACAATTTTATTTGGGTTTATTCAAATAATTTTTTTAAATGCTATATTTGTGTAGTTACTAGAAAGAGTAGTGACAACATTGTTGTATTTCACCTTCAGGTATTTCTACCTGTAGTACTCCTCCCAATTAAGCAAACTGAGCAGTGTGTCAGCCCTAGTTTACAAATCCATTATCTGACTATAACAGGGGTGGGGAATGTCTGGCTCACAGGCTGCATACGGCCCGCAAAATCAATACCAGCTAACATCACATACCTCACCAAATCAGCCTGGCCAAATATAGCAGGCTAATTTTTAAGTTGATAATTTTGTATGGTCCAAAAATGATGTAATAAATACCCAAATGGCCCTTGGCAGAAAAAATGTTCCCCACCCCTGAACAATTAAATTAGAAATCTGATTAGTGCAGAAAGAAACAGGGAAAACGCATAGAGCTACCCAAGAGCCAACCTATTCTGGAGCAACTGGGCTTACACTGGTTATTTCAAAGCCATAATACTGTTTGTTTCACTGGCACCAATGTTAAGGAAAAACATCTGAGTGAAAATTGAACAGCTGTCAGAGACTTTACCTTAAAATTTCATATTGATATTTCCAGCGTTTCTCCAAAGAAATGTACACATTTTCCCATCTTAGTGTCCTGAAGGCCTTGGACTTGATGGTTTGGTCACATGACTCACTCTGTAAGGTAGAACCGATCCAGTTTTACGACTAGACACAAGTTTGACATGAATGTCCAAATAGTTTCTTCCTTGCAGAAGGAGGAGATGAAAGGGAACCAACTACCCTATTATTTTTGCTGGCAATGCTGGATCCATCGCTGTCAGTACTTTTCACAAGATGCTCTGTATGCACTTAACTGTTTTCACTTTTTCTTCCGTCAGTGTTGAGCTGACAATTCTTCATTGCTACACTTCAACTAAACAGTACAGTAAGTTCTGCAGGGATGGATCCAATATTTCTACCTTTATTTACAAATACATTCTAGTTGACTACGTGTTTAAATCCATCGGCTAAAAACATATCACATATTGTAAACATGGCAATACTTATTACAGTATCTATTCTAAAATATTTTCATGTCATGATCACATTTGTTATACCTGAAATTGAATTTATGCACATTGGAGATCACTAGCAATGGTTGCTCACTTTACAACTGAGGGCTGCATTTAATTATTTCAGAAACATCTTCAAAGTAAAGTTAAAGCTTGTCTTTGATTGGCTCGGTGTATACTCTTTTTTTTGTATCCATATTTAAAATGAAGATTGACACAGAAAATACCCTTCTCATTTACAAGATTTTAAAAAATCAGTTTAAGATTCTTAGGGAAAGTGTCTGTTGTGAAGAATTAAAAAAAAAAAAAATGCTGCAAAATTAACTTAATGGAAAAGGGACTTCGGACTGTCAGTTTCGAGTTCGTCAGGCTGTCAGTCCTGCTTGGGCTGTAGTTGCCGTTTCCACGCCTCATTCAAGTAAACTAGTCGTTTGTAGTTGATGATAAGAAGAATGAAGTTCAGCACATATGTGATGACGCAGATGATGCAAAATTCCTTCAGCACAAAGTACAGAATGTAGGCCAGGTACAAAGACCCTACCACAGACACGATGGAGGATGTCATGAGGATTAAAGCTGCAACTGCACTTGCTGTCATGCCTGCAAGAGAAAGAGACGCTTGGCTCAGTAAGATCTTGACATTGGAAAGTTTAGTTAAAAGGTAACCTTTTATAATTTTCTGTCATTTGGAAATACTGATCTTACTGCAAAACCCTGAAATTTGAGAACAAACACTCCAGCCTATTTTGTTAAGATTATGCAGGTTGACTTTGCATACAGGATACCAATTTTATAGCTGCAATGTTTCTGACTTATCAATGTTCTAGATGACATATTACTTATTTCATAAACTAGCCTTAGTTAAGACACACAGAGAAAATATACTGACTTGCAATCACATTATGCAATGAAGCTGATTTGTAAAACTGACAGCCCCACTTTTCTTTGTGAATAAAGCAACCTTAGGACCACAACCTTTTCTTCCAAGCAGGACATGTTTTCCCTGGCCTTTTCACTATAGGCTCCCCACATGTGGGAAATAAAATTAGCTATCTCATTGAAACCAAATTTATCAAAAGTCCATAATGGGAGATGGCTGCACCAACATGCTGCTAAAGAAGGGACAAACAAACAACCCATGCGGAAAAGGCACACCCTGGAAGTTAAGGAAACCACATTTGGCCAGCTGACCATATGAGGAGCAAACCAGATCAAGAAAATAGGCAGTTATGTGTGCTAGTCTAAGGCCCTCATGAAAAAACTTGCCTGAAGTCTCGATGCTCTCTGACATCTTTCCGTGTGTTGTTTTGTAATTTCTTGCAGTCAACAGTATTGAGAACATATGCATTTATTTTCAAGGAGACAGCACCGCATATTAAGCTACCCTTTTATCCAACAGCTAATGGATAAGTATAACAGAAACAGAAAAAAAAACAAAAAAGAATAGGTGGTAGTAGGTTTGAAGAGGTGACTTAAGGATCTAAAATCCACGCTCCGCTCCGGTAAAGAGAAGTGGCCTGTGGAATGCAGCCTAGCCACAGGGGCCTGGCGCCCACGGCACCAGTCGTACTAAAGTACGAAGCTTTAAGAAGGCTCTTCACGACTAAGATGCTATTGGATTACTTATGCCAGGGAAGAGCAAATATGACCGGCCACCTGCTTCTGTAAATAAAGATTTACTGGAAGCCACCATACTCGTTGATTTACGTAATGCCCATCAATGCTTTTGCTTTCACACTACAATGGCTGAGCTGAGTAACTGTGACAGTCAGCAAAGCCCCAGTTATTTTCTATTTGGCTCTTTACTAAAAATGCTTGTTGACCTCACCTATGCTACACATCTAAAATTTCAAAAATTATGCTACCACCTTAATATCAACCTAACAAAGCTAGTTTCAAAATGATATGTACCAGTCTTTTCTTAACTGTAAAATTGGGATAATAACCATGACTACGTCCTAATGCCTTTGTGCAGATTAAAAGAACTAATAGGTTAAAACACTTAGAATGTTTATGTTTGCTTCATAAACAGTAGATATTAGTTAAATACTATTGTACCAAACTTGTCCCAATGTAATTAATGTAACTGGTGGCTTGGGATAAAACTCTCAATGGAATTTAAAATGTGCTATAACTCTAAATAGATGATTGTACAATCAAGCAATGGAATATTCTGCAGCTGTAAAAAAGAAATGTATTGCTATGGAAAGATTACCATGATATGTCAGTCAAGCAAAACAAAAAGCATGTAAAACAGTGTGTATAGCATTTGCCTTTTTTCTTTAAAGGAGGAAAATTAAGATTATGTATTTGTATTTTCTTGTATATGCCTAAGGAAACTCTGTAACAACAACCACCACCTACTAGTCAGGAATGGGAGGCAGTGGGAAGTAGGAAGAGGGGAACAAGGGTGGGACAGACTTTTCACTGTGCAGCATTTTTTTTTTTTGGTATGTACCCCTAGCGGAGCCAAACCTGGGACTCTCTGGACTGCAGGCTGACACTCCAACCACTGAGCCAAACCGGCCAGGGCCCGTGCAGCATTTTATACATTCTCTTTTTACTTTTGAACCGTGTGAATTAGCAATGAAAAAAACTAAATTAAAAATTCTATATCTCAACAACTTATAAGGAAGTGAAGATGATGTGCTCTGGAAACTGTAGATGAGCTCATATGTGGCTCCCATAGTAAAGACACTGAAATTACAAATGCATAAAATGTGAATAGACAAAAATACATGATACATATGACTTAAAATACCTATACATAATGATATTAAATACTATAAACAGAAATGTGTTTTACCTCTATCTCCAAAAATTAACATAGTCCGAAGCATTTCTTAGGCTATTTTAATTTGGGCTTAGAAATCCAAACAAAAAAATAAATGGAATAAAACGTGAAAGTCTCACCCCTAGCCCCCGACCACCAGACTTTCTTATGCATTTACATGCATATGTATAAACATCCTATGCCTATTACACCACAATTTGCTTTTTTTTTCACTAAACTATGCCTTTATCTTTTCGGGATACACAGGTAGACCTACCTACTTTCTCCTTTAACGGCTACACTATTCTCTAGTATGGATGAAACCTAATTTATTCAAATGTTATGTTTTGCTACGCTACTTCCAATTTTTTGCTACTTTACCTTTTATGTTTTTATTGATTTTTTAGAGAGAGAGGAGAGAGAGATAGAAGCACTGATGTTTAGAAAGAGAAAGATTGATTGGCTGTCTTCTGCAAACCCCCAACTGGGGATCTAGCCTACAACCCGGCATATGCTCTGAACGGGAATTGAACCAGGACCTCTCAGTCCTTGGGACGATGCTCAATCCACTGAGCCACACCGGCCAGGCCAATCTTTTGCTATTTTAAATTGCACTAATATGAATATCTTTGTGCATGTATTTGTATTTCTACAGAATATATAAATACAGGCTTAAACACACTTGATAGGATTATTGAGAAAAATTTAGATTCACAATTTGCTTCATTAGAAGTCAACTTCGACCAGACAGAAGAGCACAGAAGAACTGTCAGATGATAGGATGAAATAATAACAAATGAAATGCAAGAGCAAAAATAAATGAATTTCACTTAAAAGTATAAAAGCTTATACAATCAAAATTCACAAAACTAACATAAAAAAAGATAAAGAATGGGTTAAATGTTTGTAACAAATATGAAAGTGGACTATAATCAGGATCCTAATAACTAAACTGGCAATTAAAGGAAATTAAAATGTAGTAAGATAAAAATAATACCTACTAATATGTAACTATTAAATTAGGTATTTTACAGAAAACAGTTTTTAAAAATGAAGGTGATAAACCCTTGGGGAAACCTGACAATTGAGGGAAAAGCAGTTAGCTAACATTTATTAAATCCCATTTTAAAATCTGTTTTTTGACTCGTTCATCCCATGTTTGGAAATGTACTCTATGGAAACAATTCAAAGAGGGAAGGTTGTGTGTATGAGATTTTAAACAAAGATGATCACAGTGTTATTTAGACATAAAAAAACCTTGAAACCTGATGTCAACAATAACAAAACATTTAAGAGGACAGAGTATAATAGTTTATATAAAAATAAGTGAAAAAAGCAAAAGACAATAGAAATAGCGGATATGTAAAGGCGATGGAATTATGAATATCAATAACCATTAATGCATTCCCAAAGCATATATTTTAAAATAGCTAGTGAGTATATAAAATAGTAAGGAGAAAGGTTTTTGAGAAGACTGGAGTAATAATTTCCCTGAATGGGGCTGGTTTGTATAGACATCATGGGATGCTGCTATCACTGATTAAACACCAACAGATACCAAGTTCAGCATTAGCGTCATCAAAATTATTGTGAACCAAGTTTCACAACACAAAAATGAGTAACTAATGGTTCTATTATTAACATATGCTTTTATTTAATAGAAAGACACACTTCAGGGCAAAGACACAAAGTACTAAATGAAATGTAACAAAAAAGCTTTATTTTTTTAAATTGCTATGTAATACTTACCAAGTAATAACTGTAGTATATAAAATACAAGTCCAAAGACACTGTTTGGCTGGTTTAATACACCATCCTTTCCAAAAATGGTACCCAAAAGACCAAATCCTCGACCCCATCTGTAAAATAAGGAAAACCAGTAACCCTATATTTGAGTTTTCCTATTTTGAAAAATGTAAAATTATCTGAAAATATTATGCCAACATACCCACCCAAATCTCTAAACTGTCAATTTATATATAGTCTCTTTTCCCAAAGGTAGGACAAAGTATTCTTTTTCTGATGGCATTAGTCTTTGCAGACGAAGGGCTCCCTCAAAAATTTTTATTTATGGATTGACTTGAGAAAGAGAGAAACAGTGATTTGTTGTTCCACTTATTTATGCATCCATTGGTTGATTCTTATATGTAACCTGAAACCTTGATGTATCGGGACGAAGCTCTAACCAACGGGGCTACCTGGCTAGGGTCAGGCTCTCTCAATTTCAGCTAGTCTCAGCAGCGACACCATTGACATTTTGGGCTAATTCTTTGCGGTGGGGGCAGGTCAGTGCATCACAGGGTGCTTAGCAGTATCCTTGGCCCTGCCCACCATATGCTAGTAGTGCCCTGCCAGCTGTGACAACCAAAAGTGTCTTTAACCATTGCCAACTGTCCTCCGGGGGCAAAACCACCCCCAGTTGAAAGCCACTGATATAAGTAGTCCTACTTGTTAATTCAAAGTATGTAGACAGAGAGGCAGGTCCAAAAGGTGGTTAAGGAAGATGCTGAACTTGCCCCTCCTTAGAACACACCCATTATACATCTATATTTAGAGCAATTCCTCCTGAGAGACAACTGAGAGCCCACTGTACAGCTTCTGCGCGACAAACAATAGAGAGACCACAAAGAAAAGGCTGTGGAAACTCTCTGGCCAGAGGAACCAGTGAGCACCATCGTTTATATTTCCCCTACATTGAATAGCAGGCGGGAGCTCTATCCAGGTTCTCTGGCCAACCTGCAGAGCTGCGGTAGCATGTACACAGCCAATTCTCCTAGAGTTAGCTCTAGCAGGAACAGGAGGGTAACATAGCATGAGTACAAGAGGGCCCTCCACCCTGGCTGATCCAGTGTGTATGGCAGGGTTCTGGAGAGAGTACGGAGCTAGCAAAATGCTGTGGTACCCGCTGGTAGGTCTGCCTGTCCATAGAAACTGAAAAAACAATGGGGTGCTGCCACACATGCATATGGGGCTGCCCCACTGGGAGACAGTGTGGAGCTAGCAAAGCATACGGTACCCACACACAGCGCTGCTCTGCATGGGGCCCACTGCACGCAGCTGGCTCCATCCAGAAGAAGTGTGAAGCTTGTAGGGTTTTGTGACGTCCTCACTCAGAGCAGCCCTGCCCAGACCCAGTCAGGCAACAACAGCAGGATACATGCCCACACCAGACAGCCCCGCCCTAAATCCACTGCTGGCCAGGCAGCACATGAGGCACCCCACACCCCATTACAACCAGCCTGCCAAACCATTTGGTACACAGTCTACACAGAGGCTACTTTTCAAGATTGGGAGAGACAGGTATTTTATCTAACTCACAGGGATAAACACAGAAGGTCAAACAAAATGAGACAGAATATGCCCCAATGCACAAAGGAAAAAAACCACAACAATAAAATAATAAAAAAAACTAACGAAACGGAGACTAGTAATTTGCCTGATATAGAACTGAAAGGAATGATCATAAGAATGCTCAACAGCCTGGCAGGTGTGGCTCGGTTAAGCATTGTCCCATGCACCAGGAGATCGCTGATTAGATTCCTGGTCAGGGCACATGCCTGGGTTGCAGGCTTGATCCACACTAGGGGGCACGCAGGAGGCAGCCGATCTATGTCTCGCTTTCACATGGATGTTTCTATCTCACTCTCCCTTTCCCTTCCTCTTTCTGAAATCAATAAAAACATTAAAATTTTAAAAAATCTTAAAAAAAAATGCTTAACAAACTTGAGAGTAGAACAGAGGAAATTCAAGGAGCACTTCAAAAAGTTAGAAAATGTAACAAAGAACTAATCAGAGATGAAGAATAAAATAACTGGAGTGTATAAGGGATCTCTGTGATAATATATATCAAGCACTCTAAAATTCGTATTACAGGAATTCCAGGAGGAAAAGAGACAGAGAAATGGGGCAGAAAGTATATTTGAAGAAACAATGGCTGAAAAACTTTCCTAATCTAAGGAAGGAAATAGATATCCAGGTCCAGGAAGCATAGAGTTCCAAACAAGATGAACCCAAAGAGGGCCACACCAAGACATGTTGTTATTAGAATGGAAAAAGTTTAAGGATGAAGAATCAGTCTTAAAGGCAGCAAGAATGAAAAAACAAGTCACATGCAAGGGAAACCGCATAAAGGCTATCAGCTGATTTCTCAGCAGCAACTCCATAGGCTAGAAGGAAGTAGCAGGAAATAAAGTGCTGAAAGAGGGGAACCTATAACCTTAGAAAACTATATCCAACAGGTTATCGTTCACAATTGAAGGAAAGATAAACAGTTTCCCAGACAAACAAAAAGTAAGGGAGTTCAACACTAAACTGATTTTCTAAGAAATATTGAAGGGTATTCTTCATGCAGAAAAAAGGTCATAACCAGAAATTGTTTTAAAATACAGGAAAGAAAAAATCTCACTGCTAAAGGAAAATATCTAATAAACACAATGAATCAACTACTTAAAAAGCTAATATAAAGGTTAAAAGACAAAAGTAGCAAAATTAACTGTAACTACATAAATAGGATATACATATAAAAAGATATAAAATATGTCAAAAACAAGATTTAAAATGTCATGTCAAAAACAAAGAGTGAGGGGAGTAAAAATGTAGTGCTTTTAGAATGCATTTGAATTTAAACGCATATCAACTTAAAACAGACTGCTTTAGATATAGATGGATATATATGAACCTCATAGTACCTGTAAACCAAAAACCTACAAATATACACAAAAAATACAGAGATAGTAATCTGATTGAAATACTAGAGAAAACCAACAAATTGAAGAGAGTGAGTCTGGCTGATGTGGCTCAGTAGTTGAGCTTCGACCCATGCACCAAGTTCGATTCCCGGTCAGGACACACGCCCAGGTTGTGGGCCTGATCCCCAGTGTGGGGCATGCAAGAGGCAGCCAATCTATGTTCTCTCTCATCAATGTTTCTATCTCTCTAAAAAAATCAATAAAGGAAAGAAAATTAAAATATTTTTAAAAAGAAAAGGGAGGGAGACAAAGTAAGAGAGAAAACAAAAACTACCAAAAAACAATTAACATAATGACAATAAGCACATACCTATCAATAGTTACTTTAAATGTAAATGTTCCAATCAAAACAAACAGGGTGGGAGAAAAGATTAAAAAAAAAACAAGACCTTCCCTGGCCAGTTTGGCTCAGCAGTTAAAGCCTTGGCCCATGGACCAAAGGGTTGCAGGTTTGATTAAGGTCAATGGCACATACCTGGGTTGCAGGTTCAATCCCTGTCCCCATTTGGGGTCATGCGGGAGGCAACCAATCTCTCTCTCTCTCTCTTCCCCCCATCTCACTCCCTCGTCCCTCCCTTCTATTTTTTTTTTTTTTTTTATCCTCACCCGAGGACATTTTTCCATTTTTTTGTTCAGATAGAGTGGGAGGGAGAGAGAGGAGAAGAGAGAGGACGAGAGAGAGAAAGAGAGAGAAACATCGACGTGAAAAAGACACATCGAGTGGCTGCCACCCGCACGACCAACCAGGGCTGGGGACAAACTGCAACCGAGGCACGCGCCCTTAGCGGGAACCAAACCCGGTCTCTCTGGACCACAGGCCGACATTCTAACCGCTGAGCCAAACCGGCCAGGGCCCTTCTATTCTCTTAAAAAATAAAATTAAAAAATGGAAAAATATCCTCAGGTGAGGATTTAAAAAAAAAAAAAAAAGAATGATATACAAATGCAATCATGCAGTACATAACCTTATGGAACTAGCTCTTATTCACTCAACAAATTCTCTTGCGATCCATTCAAGTTGTTGCATGCATCTGTAGTTTGTTTTTATCGCTAAGTAGCGTTCCCTGGTATGGATGTACCACAGTTTGTTTACCCATCTACCTGTTAAAGGACATCTGGGCTGTTCCGAGTTTTTTACTATTACAAATAAAGCTGCTATAAACACAGGTTTTAGGGTGCACATGTTTTCATTCCTCTGTGTTAAATGCCCAAGAGTGCAATTGTTAGGTCATATTGAAGTTGCAGTTTTCTTTTTTAAAAAATATGTTTATATTAATTTTAGAAAGAGAGGAAGGGAAAGAGAGAGAGAGAGAAAGAGAAATATCACTTGGCTGCCTCCTGCACACCACCTACTGGGGATCGAGCCTGAAATCCGGGGACATTCCCTGACTGGGAATCAAACCGGTGACTTCTTGGTGCATGAGACAATGCACAACCAACTGAGCCACACCTACCAAGGTGCATGTTTTCTTTCTTTTTTTAAATCCTCACTGAAGGACATGTTTTCATTTATCTTCAAAGGGAGCAGTAGGGAGAGGGGGAGGAAGAGAGAGAGAGAGAAACATTGATGTGAGAGAGACACATCGAGTGGCTGCCACCCACACAACCCCAACCGGGGCCCGGGAAAAATTGCAACCGAGGTACGTGCCCTTAGTGTGCACCAAACCCGGACTCTCTGGTCCACGGGGCTGACGCTCTAACTGCTGAGCCAAACTGGCCAGGGCTGTTTTCTTTTATTTAGTTAGTTAGTTAATCCTCACCTGAGGATATTTTTCCATTGATTTATTAATTTATTTTTAGTACAAATGTTTCTCTTTTTTTTTTTATCCTCATCCGAGGACATTTTTCCATCTTTGTTCAGATGGAGTGGGAGGGAGGGAGGGAGGGAGGGAGGGGGGGAGAGAGAGAGAGAGAGAAACATCGACGTGAAAGGGACACATCGAGTGGCTGCCACCCACACGACCAACCAGGGCTGGGGACAATCCGCAGCCGAGGCACACGCCCTTAGCGGGAACTGAACCTGGGTCTCTCTGGACAGCAGGCCGACACTCTAACCGCTGAACCAAACCAGCCAGGGCAGATGTTTCTCTTTTGACACTGTCCTCCCGATC